TATATTATTGTTTTTCTTTGTCTTAGTAATGCTTAAAAATCAAAGTTATATTTAATCAACCTTGCAATTCATTATTACACAGGGATTTGTCGAAAACTACAGAATACTTACAATTTTGAAACTAAAAATATCTCTTTGGTACTGCACTTACAAACTTGCTTGCATGGTTTCAGACGGCCATATTCCCTAGCCATGAAAGATAACTCCCTGTTTCCCTGTCTAAAATTCCACCAAATTATTCCCCTTTCAAATGAACTCAAAGAAGGGACTTTTTAAAAAGACTTTGTATTTATTTATTCGATTTTTTATTCAGAAACGGACAATTTTTTCTTTACCTTTGTTTAATTTGCTTTCTATCTATATATGGTTCCTATGGTAAACATATGAGTTTTGATGGTAAACAAATGAATTTTCTGAACCGAAAGTAATCTAACGCACAGCGTTGCTGTCATCACATGTTAACAATACATTAAATCGGTAAGAATATTGAGATATTTGTTTGACTATCAGTTTCAAATGCAAAATATTAATATGGAAAACAACTATGTGTAGTTTATGTGTATTGCTTTAATGTGTTTGTCTGATATTTTAGTCGTAAAAGCCATGTACACTTAGTGTCGCTTCATAGCAACCGAGTTTAAAACGTGAGCGGTAACTGAACGAGATATGGCAAAGCGCATGCTCGCGCACTGACTTCCGCTCTATCGAAATACTGCATATACATATAGCGAAAGTTCGTAAGTGTACTGTATATTCGCAGAGACATAGATATCTGTTATTATCAAGTTAGTACGATTTAGGCCTGGTAAAACGCGGTGCGACAATCTTTTATTTGTTTGGGCCGTCAGGCCAAACAAATAATGGTAGCGAAATTTCAGACCATTATGTGCTTTTTTGCAAATACCGAAAGTAGTCCAAACTCCTCGAAGCTGTTACTTCCCTTTAAAAGTACACTAACACCGAAAAATTAAGGGAAGATCACTGCGTAAAGATTTTCAAATGACAGGTGCATTAATTTTCAAGCCTTCTCGGGGAAGAAGAAGTAGTTCCCGATCGGTCGAAGATTTCTAATATTGTGTTATTTTTCTACAGATTATGCTTATATTAAGCTCCATGATTATTTACATCAGTGTTAAACAACAGGTTAACCGTGAAATTAATAAGGGCTACAAACCCTTAATTAGAATAATGTGGTTTTCTTCAGGCTGCTACCGTGTTCGAGGGGTTACACGCTCGGTTAGGAAGCGAGAGGGCTGGAGCTCAAAACCCAGTTAAGGCAACCCTTTTTTAATTGTTTAAGCCAAATAAACATTGAATTGAATATCAGTGTTGCAATCAGCCTTATAGCCAATTTACTACAGTTATAACACTGGAAACAACATTGGTGGCACTATACAAAAACAAATTGGTTTATAATCTCACAACCTTCAACTTTCTGACATTCTGAGACCAAAAACAAGTCAGCGCCTTCTGTGCTTTGATTATTATTTAGAATTAAACGAAAAGGGTAAGTATGATCAGCAAGTTTTTTATCCATATGGTCCAGTATTAAAACAAATCGTTAACCATATCATGGTGAACAATAATATTATTTATTCATTTGACCACCCTTTTTATATAATATTTTATTACACAATTTTTTGGTAATTTCAATCTGCCTATCTTACAAGAGAAAGGATTAAGATCATTATATCCCTTTATTAATATACTTAATCGTATCGGCGATGTCCATTGTATCCCAAAATGACTGTCATCCAAGGGCGACAACTTGAATCCGGTCTTATATGAAAGGGTCAATAAGGGACATACAAATGCTACGTTTGTCTTATTAGGCGTCATTACCCTGTTTAACTCTGATTAGTAGGCGTCCAAGTTGCGTAATGTCACATGTAGAAAATTTTGGTTTCACAGTTTTACGTAAGACAAACCGGTCATGGTAATGACACGGAAGAGCGAGACAGTGGAATAGCGGGTCTGACAGACGGACAAATCCATGTCCAAACTTAAAGGGAAAGACAAGGTTAGAATAAAAACTTGATTTCAGAAAAAGAATACTATAAATAATAAGTCTGCAAATTTTCTGCCGCCAAATAATAATTTTAAACGAATGATAACAAAATTTAAATCGCTAAATCACCGATTTCTACAAATCAGTAAGCGCGGCCATGTTCGTGTATTGGCCGTATAAAAACAGGTGCGCGTGATGTCATTTCCCCACATCTTTAGATTCATGATAAATCTAGTTGAATCGTAAGGAAATATTAATATAATAAAGTATTGACCAGACAATTTTATTTTCACAGGAGGTGTAGAGGAGATTTTTTATGGTTCAAAATACGTAACAATATCAAAAATAAAAAATAAAGAAACGTACGGCTAGCCAAAAGTTCTAGTCGTACGTGAGTCACGAACGACTAGCCAGGACGCACTGTACGTATTGTCTAGCCGTACGGCACTTTTCAAAATTATATGGAAGTCGAACGTTATAAAATTGTTGATTTTCATTCTTATCATTTGTTGTTTTATTTGTATGAATTATTAAATCATTTTTGTTAATTTTAAGCACATGGATCGAATAAAAAATGATCGGAGAGGAATATAAAAAGAACATTGATGAAGAAAAAAAAAACGGTGACATGCAAAAACAATTATATAATTTTCAAAACAGTAGATAAATATCGAACATAAAAGCACAGTCAATCAAATAATTAGCCTTAATTAAAACCTATCCAGGGACTGACAATAGAATTTTAGAATGCCTTTCACGGAACATGCAAACTTTCCTTGATGGACAAACTTCTATACAGTACCGTCGGTAATTGTCGCAATTATCAAGAGCCTAACAACAATCATTTTCAGTGTGTGTTGTTTTTTTTTCATATAAAAGGTGTCGAAAATTAAACTTAATAAAAGTAAACTATTTCAATTGGTGTAAATGCAAGCAAAGGCTGTTTTTTTTCGACATCTTGCGATGACAAAGATCGATATATATAGCGATCAAGGCGATTAATCTCTACAAAGTTAACATCCAAAGACAATTAATGCTGTTTCTTGGTTAAAATCCTCGCTTAAAGTCATAAAATAACATATGCATTTTCGACTTCCATAAAATTTTGAAAAGTGTCGTACGGCTAGCCAATACAGCGTGTCCTTGCTAGTCGTACTTGACTCATGTACGGCTAAAACTTTTGGCTAGCCGTACGGGCTCGTACGCTAGCCACTTCCATTTAAAACGTGTTCTTAATAGTACATATAATTAAATTTTTGCAGTTTGATTCTGACTTTCAAATTTAAAGGTGTGAACATATGTTATAATTGGTGTACACATTTCAAAAATATAAGCAACTCTTTTGAAAAGTAAATTGTTAACATGTCTGTCAACGTATGATGCTGCGCACCGTAATCGTAGCCTTATATTAACTGCAGGCAAATCATTTTTATTGGCTGCTCAAAAATCTAATTTGCATAATTTATTCACACAATTGCTGGTTCTTACTACTTATGTCTAATACTGCGCATTGTCCGTTTTAATTGTTCCTAATTTGCACCAAATGCTCCTGTCACACTGTGTACTGACGATTTTTATTGCTCCTTGTATGCCTCTGTGCCGCCAGACCTTTTGATCATGCACAATGTTGCCCTAATTGGTTAATCACCCTTGTCTCAAATATTCTAATGAAGAAATAGACATCTATTTTTTACGCTTCATCAGTGAACTGAATGACCTTAGGGGGAATTAGGTTCCACACCTGTCAAATTATACTATAGTAAATTACAGCACGTCATAAAATAGCAACACATTTTTTTCAGTTACCAATAATCATTTTAAATATTTAGTAGATTAATGATTTTTTGTTTTATTGGATTAAATTTACGGTAGTAGAAATGTGTATCTGTTGGGGAAAAGAATTTGGTAAGTAGATAACGTGGAAAAAAGCTTTAGGGAAGTGGATAAACCCGAGAATATGCGTAATTATAGGGGAATGGGCAACCTGTTGCTGTTGGTACCAGTTTTGACTGGGTTCTAAATAACCTAACGGACAGTTTTGTTTTTATACGATATTAGTCTGGCTGCCGATTTTCCTGCGCCGTTCTCATTTTTAGCGTCAATGGCGGAAGATCGCGTCCTCAGCATATTGGATTTAGTTGATATTTTACCTGAAAAAAAAAGATACATGACCGGCGATGTACCCTATTTGGACAGCTTGTGTAGCGAAAATTAAATACAAAATAAAAGGATATATCGTCAATTTGAAGAAGTTTCTCATAGTACCCAAATTAAATTTATGGTTTATCTTTGAAACTTAAGCAGTCATTACTTAAATCATGTGGTGGGATCATCAGCAAGCTTGAATATCGGACAAATGATAATTAATGTCGCGGCGTCTTCAATTAATTAATTAAAGCAATTCAGTTCCATATGATGTTTTCATAAATAATATATAATGTACGCAATAAAATTAATAAGTTCTTCATCAAGATATATTTCAGTTGTACCAGCGTGTACACCTATACCGGAAGTGGGTATAACACGTCACAATCTCGGTCTCATCTGTCTCGTGAGAATGACAGGACGCCAAAATGGCGGCGCCCATGAACTTATTTCTCAAGTAAAAAATAGTGTCTTAAAACACGAATTTCTCTCTTATAGGGTTGATGTCAATAGGAAAACTGTCATGGTTCCTCTTTTTAAATGATGAATATTTATATAAGACACACATCAATCCATCCATTCCTATTCCTTTAAATGGTCGTGGTATAAAACAATAGTGGCGAGTTTATTATACCGTGTTTTGAAAGCTCCAATATTTTAAGTAAATTAAGGCATACAAACATTCAGTACTTGATAGAGAACATTTGTTACCTCATATATAAAAGAAAGACATTTAAAGTTTTGGATTTCCGCAATCCTAAAACTGTTATTCTCATTGATATACATATCAAATGTCAAGAATGTAGAGATAAAAAATAATGATCATTAAAAGAGAAAAGGTACTTACTCGGCATATCAAAGGCAAGTGAATCAGAAAAATTCATAAACTTATTATCGCAAAATCCAAGCCTGGCACGGCATCCGACACATCCACGATCAGTTGGCTGATAGAAAACGCTTCGACATCCATTGGTTGTAAGACAAACTTTGCCGCATTGTATGATCTCAGAAACATTATGCATTTCAAAAATAGTTTCATTTGGAATGCATCTGCGTCCGGAATACATCAAACTGTATTTACTTTTCGTGAAATGAATACTATATGATTTATTTAATACAACAACGAACAACCAGAAGAAAAAGAAACCGTAAGCACAAGCCCTGCTTGTCTTCGTCATGATGTTCGTGAAAATAACGCAAGAAACACAACGTATAAATAAATATATATATAATTGTGCGTGACATTTCACGAAGTCATATTTTAATGGCTGAAAGATCAGAGATATTCTGTTGCATGTCGGACGTCAAAGACACCTTAGCAATTTAGCGCATGTTTTAGACAAATCTTACCATGGTCTAATGAAATATTTATACATTCGCCTTTAGTTTCACTTCACTTTGTAAAAGGCTGACAACTGCATTATTAAATATGTTGTACATCGTCCTAGATCAAAACTGTTCGTCGAAGAATACAAAGCTGAAATCTTTAAGTTTCACTGGAATAATGGCAGAGATAAAGTCAGAAGAAACATAACTTAAGAATGTAAATTTGGAGGATAAAAGATGATAGACCTTATATGTTTTATGGGTAGTTTAGAAAGCTACATGTGAATTGGTTGAACGAATTTATAGTATAATCCAAACATCAAAATTGCAAACTCCAGTATTTGTTTTAAAAGGTTAATAATTATGTGATATTCCTTCTAAAGAAGATCTTGGTATTCTTTCTATAGGAGATCTTATCAACCAAGAGGGGTTGTTAAATACATTTGACGCTTTTACCTTATAATTTAATATAAGAGCTATTTTTCGAATATAGAGGAATAGCAGCTTCAGTAAATGAAAATTTTAAAAAACGAAAATGTTCAAGATTTACCAAAAACATATATAAATATAATGTTCCTATTCCAACTCCTATATGCATAATTAATAAAGATAAACAAGGATGCCGTTCTATTTATAGAGCAATGCAAGCTGAAGAACAATATCCATAATCACTACATAAGTGGAAAATGATTTAAAGAATATAAATGACAGTGTTATGTTAGAATAGAACTCTTTATATAGTATGGTTTACAAATGACTCTAAGTTAATATGGTTTCAGTATAAAATAAATCATAGAATTTTGCAACAAACTTTGTTCTATAGAAAATAATTGTATGATTAATGAGGATAATTGTACATTTCGCCATAATTTAAAAGAAATATCAATTCATCTTTTATATGACTGTAATGTAAAACAACATTTTTGGGAAGAACTAAAAGTTAACATCAATAATAGATGCAACCTTAACATTAAAATCATTAATATCATTTGGATATATTGTATGGTAATACACATCTTGTTGTAGTTAAAATTAGATATTATCTGCTAAATATTACATACATTACTGTAGATTAAAACTATTAAGGCCTGGTATAGGAACTTTTAAAGAACAAGTTCGTGCCATTTATAAAATTTATGAAAGCATGTCCAAACAGTCATCACTGCGGAATACCGTACCCCGGATATTGCTCGATATAATAATACCGTACCGCGGCTCTACCGACTGAGCTATCCGGCCGCTTACACATCATCACCCCGAAATAATGAACAGTTCTGAACCGTGACATGTGCCAATATCAATATCAACCGACTTCCTACTATGCCAAAAATACATATAAATGCAACTTTCGGTCATTTTGCACCTGCACTCTAGCAACGGCAGACCGTTTGCACGTAAAATTGGTTACGTCATTATCAATAAGTTACCGTATGACTGCCGAGCGGGTACAGCTCAAAAAATCGAATAATGGATTTTAATAAGATTATGATAAAGGGCAGCAGATGCAATAAAAAGGTTATGTTACTTTTAACCTTTCACCTCATAAAGGCGTGTTTTGAAGGCTTTACATCCCATCCCATTTGAGGCCTCAAATAATGTAAAACATGCGCAATTTAGGCCCCAAACACTGGTTGTTTTCGTTTGAGAATTGTTGTTCAAAAGAGTGATCACTTTTTCGGCGCCACCCCCCATTAAAGAGGTACATCAAGGGGGTGCCACAGGGGGATGTGCCCCCTTCTGTTTAGGGGGTTTGAAGTGGGGCAGTAGCCCCTGTAATCGCCAAGAAGATTTGGGACTTGTTGGGGGGACTAAAATGGTCTCGGGTCGATTTAAAGGTACCGTGAAATCAACGCCGAAAAGCCTTAGACTTTATCTCAATCAATTGAGAAGTTGCTGCACCTTGAAATCAGTTTAAGTATAAGATAAACGTTCACTAGGAAAATCATACGCTTTAACTGCAACACTTTTGGTTAACACAGTATGAGTAGTCATTACAATGCAGTCATTTAAAGTGACACTATGCCCATATTTTCATAGTCAAGTTGAGCTGAATTGACTTTTTAATTAAAATGATTGACTGTTAAAATGGTGTTTGGCCTACAGTTTATTTTGGAAAATATTTAGGATAAAATTTAAAATTGACCTAATATATAAAAAGACTGCGCCACTCTTTTAATTAAAATGAAGGTAAGTAACAGGTAAGTTCTAATTGATATTTACAGAAATTCCGTTTAGATCCGGGAGTTATTTATTGTTTACATAAAGTAAAATATTAAATTAATAGGAATTATGGCAATATAAAAACTTATTTTGACTTCCACCTGTTCACTTAGTGTATACCCCAGAATGGGCAAACTGTCACTTAAAAAAAAAACAGCATTGTTTTGAAAAACAAAAGGGAATGCAGCTTCGCAAACAAAGTTTGTGTATCCTCTTATTAAATAAGATACATTGACAATTTTCGAGGTTTCAATAAAAGCAATAAATATGAGCTTCACGTTTTATTTAAGGTATTAGATGTCTAATAAGTGTCCGTGTTCGGGGAGGATATAGAGTTTGCATGGAGTATTGAACATCTAAGATTGAATAATGGCGAATGCAATTGTTAGAAGGTATTTATCAGAAGCAAAGTCGTGAATGGAAGTTCGTGAATGGAACATTTTCAAAGTCGTGAATGGAACATTTTCAATTTTGCCGTGTTGGGCTTTCTTTAGGGATTCCTTATTTATCTATTTTTTGGTATGATGGAGCAAGGGGTTCAACATCGTAAGGTTGGTGAGGTGTTTGGTGTGGACCATACAATTATCATTCGAGCTTGGGCGAGGTTCCAACAGCACGATACTCCTGTAAGACGACATATAATATATATAATATTGAAACTATGGACGTACAGGTCTACGAGCGGATCACACGATCACCGAGTTGATCCCACTTTTAAATTATGTAAGTGCAATTTAATTAATTTCTTATACTGCTCCCCTAACACAATATCCCGGCCTTTATAAAATGTATTCTTGCAATAAACGTGTACTTGACATTAGTCCGCTATATTTGGCACAATATCAAATATACACTGAATAATGCGATAAACATTTTCAACATTCAATAACTCGTGCAGAGTCGGTACGAATGTGAAAATTGACCTTTTACCTGAATAAGCAATTCGTATAAATAACTGATTTTGTGTTTAGACCATGCTTCTATTCATAAATCTGTCTTTGTTATGTATGATCTTTCTTTGTAATGTATGGATATGATCTTACAAATTTTAACAGAATATAACTTATCGTGGCGATTACAAATAAGACTAAGTAAAGAGGTCTGAGATAAACTTGTGATGAATATACTTTTTTGGTGCTTCATTAGTTTTTATCAAGATCTGGCAAAAAGTCATGTTTTAAACAACATAAATATCGATGACGTACATTTCCTATTTAAATGTATTCATATGATAAAGATTAATATTTGTTACAAAATTTGCTTTATGCTTAAAGCGTACTCTTATTGAGAGTAAACTTGTTAAGCGTTATGTAACCCAAAACAAATATTAACTTTCTTACCTTGTTCAATAATTTTGTAAAGAAAAATGAGAACAAAGATCAACAAGACACGTTGACGTTCACAGAACACAAACCCCAACACAATCCAGTCACACCAGTTAGGCATCCAGAAGCTACGAACAAAACACAGGAAAGAACACAAGGGCGGCCAAAGGAGGAGAGGGACATGCAACAAGTAAAGCCAACGAGTCTCGGAAGAGGTGACCCATTTGTAACATCTGTCCATTTCTCAAACGATTATTAGTGCATGTTTCAGCCATATTGTCACCAAATTAATCAAGTACTGCTAGGTCATGGACAAAAACCCTAATTTGTTAAGCTGTACTGACAGCTTAAAAACAGTTTATACAACCATGCGTCCTGCAAACGAAATAAATTATATCTCCTAGTTTCCCTTCTCAACAAATACAAACTTAAAAAAAATAAACGACACCCGTTTACTATTCCCCAACAACGTATCCTTACCATAGTTATATCTACTTTATATGCATATTATTTTCAATAACTTGAAATAAACTTGTATTTAACATGTATCCGCGATATTTTACACAATATCAAATTCGCACTTGATGATAATGACAATAGATAAAAACTTATAAAATAACTTAATATTAAGTACGGACCATAGCATTATGATTTACTAAATATATTTTCCGTATTTCCAGCTTTGTCCACAAAGTGGCATGCTATTTAACTATTTTTCCGGACATTATATTTATTGGTTAGTTAATACCACGTACCAACAAAGTAAAGATCACCTGGCAACCTTCAAGCTTGGTTGGTTGAGGAAGACCTCAGATGTTTCTTGCATTATTTCAGGTCAGGACGGTACGTAAGATGAAGGACCTATGTTTTGTTAGCTAGCTGGAGAGCTTCCTCACATTTAAGAAACTAATTATCTGTCGGGATCCCAACCAATACGGTAAGATACAGATGCTGTTTTTTTTAACTATCAAACTGTGGACATCCTTGCTTCAAACACAATCATGACTTAAGTTTTACTTTTTATTATCTTAGTGTCTGTATGCAGGGGTCTTAAGAACTTTCTTTTTACTTGTTCGCAGATCATTCTAAGATTTTATCCTCTGTTTGAATTTTAAGCAAATACCATTGAAACAAGAACCTGTTTTGCAATGATAATAATGACCCGCTGTACTTATTTGTGTTAATCTCAAATTCAATTGTTTAGATCTAAGTACAGTGAAAAGAAACATGCATTTTATATTGCATTGAATTTGGTTAAGAAGTAAGAGGACCAAATCATTTTTATCAATACTTTAGAGAAGAAAAAG